TTTGTAACTTCCTCGGCATCTGGAAAAATATCAGCCATCTTATATAACATGTGGTCTTTGAAAGCTGCACAACTGTTTAATATTGTAATGTAACATTGATTACTTGCCAAAGTGGTTTTATTACCATAAGCGATACATTTAGGTTTAGGAAGTGGATCATCGACAAGCAATTAACAACCTCATTTAAGCTGCATTCAAGTAAATTCTGACAAAAAGGCACTTAATAAATAAGAAGTTTTAGTATTAAGTTCACATTATAAGTTCGTCTAAAATGTTTGTTTCTGCTTGAAACATATTGAATGTGCATCTTCAAAACTGTTTAACTAATGTTATATATCCGTCAAGTCCTTGAATACCTTCACAGTATAACTTTCCTGTCACTCTTCGTCAAATACATCAGTTCCTACAGCCATTTGAGGTAATTTTATTATTTGAGGTAATTATATTATCAGTCTTTTAAACAAACCATTTTGTGGTGACTAATTATAATACATAAAAACTTAAATTTCGTCGTGAATTAATCAATTTATATGTGTATTGGCAATATGAAAATAATTCAGACTGCATCATAATTTATCGGGAGTGTTATACATTTATTGATGCGTTCATAACATTGTATTGTATGTTTGCGTTACAATTAGATATCTATTATTTTTTAGACAATAGAAATCCTTCAAGGGGGTTTATTTCGAAAGATAAATGGAAGAATAGAATTTAACTTAACGTTCATAAGAAAAAATGAGCCGTGAGAATAAATGTATCAATTTTTTTTACAACACAATATAGTTTGAAATAAACTTGCTTGTCTTGACTTTACACCAATTTAAACATACGTTTTTACTTATCACTGCGGTCGTTCCACCAAGGCAGTTTTCCTTGATAACTAGCTTGTAATAGTTAATACATATTTCTCCGCAAGTGACTGGCTACTAGTCCCGCGTGAATTTAACATTTACCGTTAGAGACAAATGACCATCAAACTCAATGTCTGAGATAAACTGTCGCGGAGAAATTTCGCCTCGCGCGAAGATCAAACTAGCGATCCCTAAAAAAGCTATTAAATTGCCCCCCCCCCCCCCATTCAGCTTAACGGGTGGACAGAATTCTTTTCATAGAATCAATTATTACTTTAAAGCAGAGAGCTTGGGAGTAACAATAACTGAATGATTTTTAAAATTAAAAGCGAGCAGAAAAATATATGAAATAAAAAAAATAATTTCAAACTTTAAAGTTTTCAAAATTAAGTAGTGATTCATTTAAAAATTAAAACCGTAAACTGTTCTTAAGAAAGAAGTCCATTTACTTTTACGATTATTTTGAATAGTCGAACCAATAAAACTTTTTGTTTCCTCACGCAAAATCATGCACGAAATAAGTGAAAAAAATATGTCACTTCATTAAAATCTATGTCAGCAGATAATAAAGTTCAAATTTACTCTGAAACTGTACACAAAGTCAAATGTCATGAAAAGACAAGAAAGCAGGTCCTTTCGTCAAAATCTAGGTCAACTGATATCAAAGTTCGATTTAACATCTTAAAGTGTGCATATGGTCCAAATTGTATTGTACATAACCGTTTTGTCACAAGGGTTGTTGTGGCCAAGTATGAATACAAAACACCAAGAAAATAGTTTTAATCAATGTTCAATTTTGCGGACGGCAACGCCGACATGACTTTGCTAATGACTTTTTTCTCTGACAAAAAAGGCAAGTTTATTTCATACATTTAGCAGTTAAAAGCTTAAGTGTCTCTCCACATTCTAATCTTAATCAATAACAAAATTTGTAAATAGAAATAAACACATAAAAGATTAAGATGCTTTTATTTATAAGTATGATAATAACTCATCTTATGATAACAAAACATATGTAATGAACACAGAGTTATCTGCACTTCTAAATGATATAATATAGAAACATACAATATTTCAGTGACTTACTTACAATTTTATAAAATGGAACTTACATTTAAATTTTCTATAAAAGCGATTATCTAAAGGGAGGTAATCATATTTAAACAATGAGAAAGAGTTTTCTATTATTCTATTTTAATTTATTTTCAAAAATGTAATTCTTTACATGTTTTATTATTCAGTAAATATCGAACGCATTTTTTTCCAGTAATTTCACATGCATCAAAATGTAATGACAAATAAAGACATTTTTTATTTCTCAAAAAATGTTAATTTTTGGTGTCCTGTTTCAGTTTTCAAAAAGTTACTCATTTGCCAAATACTTACGTTTTCGTTTGTTTTGTTTTTTTCACATTTTGGCAATGAGTAGTACATAAGTAGTCAATTATCAATTTGTAACATTCAATTTTACAAACATAAAAAAAATTACATTTCAATTTTCTATCAAAAGAATAATCAAAGGGAATTCGAGTTAAAACGATAAAGGTTTTAATTGTTCTTTTTTTAATTATTTCCAAAAATGAGCGTTTTTTCTTCTTCTTCTTCTCCTTTGTGTGTACGTGTTCGTGCGTGCAAGCGTGCGTGCGTGCGTGCGTGCGTGTGTGTGTGTCTTTAAAGTCCCCTATGGCCAAATACTTTAGCTATCTGTTCCTTTTTATACATCTTGGATATTTGTGGCAGTTATAATCAGTAAGTATTATGAATGGAAGTCAAAATACAAAATACTACTTTTTATATAGTTTTTTAATCTTCATTACAAATTATGAATGGTATCACACATGTTTTCTTACATTATGAAAAATGAAACGCATACGTAAAACATAGAAGTGGATAAATACCGTCCAAGCACAAGAATTTAATGTAATTGTGTTTTGTATAAACTATACATCACGAATCTGTTTGAAAATTTTATGCTATAATAGCGTCAACGCACGTTTATTTCGTGTTATAAAGTCTGCAGAGTCCCTCGGAACTGTTGGAGCCCTCGCCCTACCGGGCTCGGGCACCAACCGTTTCTCGGGACTCTGCAGACGTTATAACACGGAAAAACGTGCGTTAACCCTATATTATAACAATATGATAGAATACATGTTTGACATTTCTACATAAAGAATCGCTTATGCATTTTTGTGTCATAATATGACTTTATTGATACAAATGAACGACAATGGCTGATAATCAACATTAGCCATATGAAGACATTACTAGGAAATAAATTAGCTGTTTGAATTTGATCTTACAACAGTATATCTTTTAAGGCAACAGTAATGATAAAATGACCAGATGACAAACAAAAGATGACTCAAAAAAGTTTTTCAAAGATTAATGCTTCTTCTGGTGTAGCCTTACACCAATAATTGTATTAGCAGATATTTGATTAATAAATGTGCATGTAATTTTATGTACACTGTCTTCTCAGTAGGATGTACATGAATGTACAGCAGTGAGGTCATCGTGTCAATATTCAGTGAGATACCTACTTGAAAACATGTTCAATGCACTTTTGTCTATTTATATTTAATGCCAACTCTCTTCCAGTTACTGATTAAATTTGAAACATTAAACTTTTTCAAAAATGGGTGATTTTGCAAATTATATTTCCAGAAATATACTCACAAACACTACTGGCATGCGAGCAGTTTCCGTACAAAAAACATAGTTACTTAAACATTATTTTTTATTACGCTCACTCACTAAAATTTGAATGTTACAAATCAATATTCGGCTCGTCACACACAAATCGTGGAAATTCCATCATGTTCTAAACATAGAATAACCCTTACTTATGAGGCCTCATATGGGGTACCGAAATTATCAATTATTTTGTATGAAGAGAAGTAGTTCCCGTACATAAAATCTAATTCATTATAATTATACAATTTTATTATATCGGACCTATTTTTCATTTACAATTGTTGAACAGACCATTATCTAAGAGATAAATAGATGCAATTCAGGAAATAGAGCGTAGACTAAACGCGGGTATCTATTACCCGGTACCGTTACCCCAACGCATTCACAAGCAATAGCATGCTTGTATGCATGATATTTTACGCATCAAAGCTATAAAATTATTATATATACATGTAGTAATATTGGTCAACATTCTGATAATTAAACAAGTTTTCATCACATTGCCTACTTATTTGTAAGCAGGTGGTATTAGTGGAAAACCCTTTAACAAGCCTCACGTGTAAGTATTTTTGCGCGTGCGCGCAAGGACGGAATCCCCCAGAGAAAACAAGGTCACGTTTTGACGACGCACAGGTGAAAGTGATTTAAAATGAGACTTTATATACGTACTGCCGAACTGACACTTAGATTTTGTCTCGTTTATGTATCTGCTTGATTTGAAATGAATTTTTAAAGGAATGCAAGTAAAAATCAAGCGTTTAAATGAAAAATACGGGTACTGCTTCTGTACGGGAACTGCTCGCATGCCAGTAACCTACAAAATTATAAACACTTAAAGCTTACATGTCGATAAATCAATCTTTCGTGCACGATAAATTTAGACTTGAATATCAATTTTCATGCTGTTTTATTTAGTTTTTTTTTCTTTTCGCTTTCTAAAAACATTGATTTAATACATAGTTCAATAGAACTAAAATCCTTGACCTTGAAGCTAAATAATGAGATATTTTCATTTTAAAGATAAACAGTTAAAAGCCGTCAAGAGATATAAATTTTGTTACAACGAGATACGAAGTCGTAATTTAAGGAACCTACCTCGTTATTTAAGTTATTTAGGCCATTGTTCTTTTTTTTTCATACGAGACGGAAAATGTCAGACGAAAAACGAAACATGATATCAAAAATCATTTTCTTGGATTCGTATCACATTACCTATAATCAATCAGTCTAATAAAAATCGACTTTCAAATACTCAATTGAAACTGCAACACTAAGACTAATCTATCTTCATGAAGGCTTAGTAATAAGCAATAACATATACTTATTAAGAAGCACACCAAAATATGTTTGACAATAAAAACATTGACTCTTATTTCGCACTTAAATGTTGTTTATTTGTTTGTTTGTTGATTTTTTTTTTAAGCGTGGATGGTGTAATGAAGATGTATGGTTTCAAACAAGAGATGAACCACGCATTTTTTCAAGAACAGTTTCACTGATCTTAAGCGAATCTTTCTCCAATGTATCTATTATATCCAAAAGACCAGAATATACCTTGGGATAGGTGATCACAAAACCTTTTAAAGCGCATTCAATTTCATGTAGAAAATTGCCAACCATAAGTGGTGAATTTTCCAAATTTTTGTTTGAGTTTTTAATGTCCTCTATAGCCTTATCCGGATAAAGAACAGTACAACAAAACTTTATCATTTCCTGCAATTTTGCCCAACCAACTTCAAGATCCTTGCACGTTTTGCCGAGTGCCTCGTCATCAAGACCAAGTTCTGTCTTATAAAAAGTTATTTCATCCTTTAAAACATTCTGGTTCATTAGATATTTCCCCCCTGGCACAGCAGATACGATTGCCATAAATGCTACTGAAACCGCTCGAAGCTTTAAGACTTTTACCTTCTCCGCAATGATTTCTTTCGTCATGGTTCTAAAAGTTAAGATCAAAGAAGTCTTAAATGCGTTTGGGGCATCGAATATAAGAGCCATTTGTAGTTGTTTTAGCTCAAAGTCTAGGTGTACATGGCTGTCTATCAGAAATACACAATTTGCTTCAACTTTAATCTCTTTGAGATTTGAGTTACACTCGTCACGAATGATTTGGAGGACATCATCTCTTGTTTGCTTATACTTTTGATTTTCAACATCCGAAAATATTTTGGATCGCACAAGATAAAATGGCTTTTGCAAGCGTTTCAATTCCTGAATTATCAATGCATCGTTTTCCGTAAACCGCTGAGAAGACACAATTACAACAAAATCATATTGTTCAAAATTCATATCTAGCATATATGACTTAATCGGGTGTTTCAGAGTTCCTACACCAGGGATATCATAGAGTTCTATTTGATCATTACCCGGAAAGCTATATGAAGTCTTTTTCTTTGTTGTTTCTTTAACTCCTTCCTCTGCAGCATTCTCGTCCCCGTGATGGATACCTCGTAAAGCATTTATTAAGCTAGTTTTACCGGCGCCACTGTTTCCAGTTACTGCAATTTTTATCTTCACGTGTTTCCATTTATTAAGATCATGCGTGACATGTTGGGTAAATCCACTCACTCCTTGTGTTTTGAATATTTCATATGTCTCTTTTATATATTCCCCTGCATCTATAAATTCGGCATCTGAATTATTATCATAGGCCATCTTATAGTAGATTGTCTTCGTTGAAGGCTTCATATATATGAAATGAAATATGTATGACTCAATTGTTAAGTATATGTCTGATAACCTAATAACCTGATTTATGCGACATGTGATGTTAACATGATCCTAATCAAAATATATTTACTCAAAGTACCAACAAATCGACAATGCAAAAGACTTAAGCTTAATTCAATGTCAAAACAAAAAAGGTAATGCAACATTGATTACTTGCCTAAATTTTAAAATTAGCATTATTTTTACTTTTATATTTCATATTTTAGAGATACTTTAAGGTTAAAGAAGTGGATCGCAAGCAAAAAACAATCTCAATTAGTCTTCATCTGACTAAAAGGGCACCTCATAAATAGTACAATATATGTATTTATCTCACAACGTAAGTTCGCCCTCTAGATTTGTTACTGCTTCAATTACATTGAAATTACATCGTCAAAATTGTTTAACTCCTGTTATCTACAATAACAATCTTTCCTGAATATGTTTAAATGAAACAAAACGAATAAGAAACAAGAGGGCCAAGATGGCCCTGAATCGCTCACCAGAAACAACTGTTTTTGAGTGATTATAGAAACATTTTTAAAAAAAATAAACTTGTAGAAAGACAAGTCCAGGTCAACTTCAACTTGCCTCTCTAGTTATAAGGTTTCCCAACACTGTTTTTTTTTCTTGACAGTAAAAATGATAGGAACCAAGTTTGGTGATCATCCATCCATTAATTTGTGATAAAATTTGCCTATGAATTTTTTTCAAAATTGCGATCTTTCTTTTTTTTTAATTTACTAAAAAAATAATAATCTTATAATCTCATTATTTAGATATACATGTATACTGTTTGTTTGGATGACACCACCGGTCAATATTTATTTAAGACAACATAGGTATACTATTACTAGTCAACTTGACCAGAAAGTTAACATTTCAGGTTAATTATCTTTCTCTTTAATAGAAATAGCTCTGGTGAGCTAAAAAAATGCTATTCCACCACTAAACAATAGGAACAGAAGTAGATGTTTTTATTTCAATACAATTGTCAGGATTCAGTAGTGTCTAGTGCATGTTGGGGTCAATGTCATATTTCTGAATCAGCATGTCAAATGAAACACAATGTGTAAATGTTTTTAATGTGCATAAACAAAGGCCATAGTATAATACCTGATTCAAAATAAAACATGTTCTTTTGATAAAATAAAAAATAGGAATTTACTGTATAACATAGCTATTAAACTCTGAAATACAGTAACAAATATTTCTTTTCGTATAATATATTTACATAATATATCATACAATTGTTTATCAGTTGTGACAAGGACCAAATGACTACTCTTTCATTCTAATCAAATCATATGTGTACATAGATTTATGTTTACGAAATAGGTAGGTACAAGGTTGTATTTAAGTCGTTTATCAATCATATGACTTTGTTAACCCAATTAGATATAATATTATCAAAAACCTTTTAATCAAAATTACTGTATACATGATTGATACATGATGTATGTAACGATTTTTTAAATTATAACATGTGTATAACCTCTCATGTAGCTTCATAAAATCTTTAACACGTATTTACTCTTGGTAATAAGATACGAGTTCCTGTGATTCGATGCAAGCGGCTTTTACATTAAAGCTCTTCTCATCTTAATAACCAAGTTAACAAAATTAACAACAAATACAATTATAAAAGATTGAGATGTTTTTATTTATAAGTATAATAATAACTCATCTTATAATAACAGAACATTTGTAATGAACACAGAGTTACAACATTTTACTTTATAATACATACCAAAAATATTAATATAAATCAACATGCATCTGGAGGTATGCTGCTTTAAATCAGATTTCCTAAATGTATATCTTGACACCATTATTTAATTCAGATTTCTTTAAAGAATATTTTTATAACCAAAAAATAAATATATTTACAAATGTTAAATAAAAATCGCACAGAGTTATCTGCACTTCTAAAAGATATAATATGAAAGATACAATATTTCAGTGACTTACATACAATTTTAAAACATGTTCAATCAATATTCTGTCAAAACGATAATCAAATGGGGATAATCGAGTTTAAACGAACAAGATAAGCTTTTTATTTTTCTACTTTTAATTATTTCCGGCACTGAGTGTTTTGTTTTCTGTTGAATACTTTAAATTTATAAATGCATACTAATAAACAATATCATAATTTATACTTATTTTGAAGCACACCAACATCAGTGTGATAAAAAGTGACTCTTATCAGGCAATTAAATGTATATAAATTGATTTCAAAACTGCTCCACTCTTGATCCAATTTAAATTTGTTTATGATTACTTATGAACAATAAGCTATACTTATACATGTATTTAAAGTACAATAAGTTTGATAGTGTTAAACCATTGACTCTAAGCAGGCACGTAAAAGTTTAAACAAATAACATGGATGATATAATGCAGAAGGTATGCCTTCAAATAAAAGACGAACCACGTATTTTTTCAAGGACATTATCACTTACTTTAAGTGAATCTTTCTGCAAGGTATCTATGATATCTAAAAGACCGCAATATACCTTGGGATAGGAGCTTATAAAACCAGGTAATGCGCGTTCAATACTACGTATTAGATTGATAAAATAAGGTGGTGAATTGTCCAAACTTTCTTGTACGTTTTTGATGTACTCTATAGCCCTTTCTGGATAAAGAACAAAATCGCAAAACGCTATCATTTCCTCCAATATTGCCCTATCAACATCAAGATCCTTGCACGTTTTGCCGAGAGCCTCGTCATCAAGACCAAGTTCTATTTTATAAAAAGATATTTCGTCCTTTAAAACATTCTCGTTCATGAAATAATTTGCTCCTGGCAGTGCAGATACAATTGCATGAAATGCTACTCTAACCGCTCGTCGCTTTAAGACTTTAACTTTTTTCCCAATGATATCTTTCGTCATACTTCCAAAAGTTAAGATAAAAGCAGACCTACATGCGGCAGGGGCATCGTTTATAAGAGCCATTTGTAGTTTTTCGAGGTCAAAGTCTTGGTGTACATGACTGTCTATCAGAAACACACGTATTTCTTTAACACTCAACTTTTGTAGATTTGATTTACAGTCACAATAAATGACTTTGAGGACCTCATCTCTTGTTTGAGTAAACTTTTGATTTTCAACCTCCGAAGCAATTTTGGACCGCACAAGATAAAATGGCTTTTGCAAGTGTTCCAATTCCTTAATTATCAATGCATCGTTTTGCGAAAACCGCTCAGAAGACACGATCAGAATAAAATCATACTGTTCAAAATTCATTTCTTGCATGTATGACTCAATCGGGTGTTCCACAGTTCCTACACCAGGAATATCATAGAGTTCTATTTGATCATTACCCGGAAAACTATATGAAGTCTTTCTTGTTGTTGTCTCTTTAACTCCTTCCTTTGCTGCATTCGGGTCCCATTGAGGGATACCTCGTAAAGCATTGATTAAGCTAGATTTACCGGCGCCACTGTTTCCAGTTACTGCAATTTTTATCTTCACATGTTTCCATTTACTAAGATCATGCATGACATGTTTGGAAAATCCACTCACTCCTTGTGTTTTGAATATTTCATATGTCTCTTTTATATCTTCCCCTGCATCTATTAATTCCTCTGCATCTGAATTATTATCATAGGCCATCTTATAATAGATTGTGCTCGCTGAAGGCTTCACATATATGAAATGAAATATGTATGACTCAATTGTTAAGTATATGTCTGATAACCTAATTAACTGATTTGCGCGACATGTGATGTTAACATGATACAAATCAAAATATATTTACTCAAAGTATCAACAAATTGACACTGCATCAGACTTAAGCTTAATTCCATGTCAAAATAAAATTGTAGTGCAGCATTGATTACTTGCCTAAATGTTTGATTTAGCATTATTCGTTACTTTTATATTTTATATTTTAGCGATACATTAAGGTTATAGAAGTGGTTCGCAAGCAATAAACAATCTCAATTAGTCTTCATCTGACTAAAAGGGCACCTCATAAATAGTACAATATATGTATTTATCTCACAACGTAAGTTCGCCCTCTAGATTTGTTACTGCTTCAATTACATTGAAATTACATCGTCAAAATTGTTTAACTCCTGTTATCTACAATAACAATCTTTCCTGAATATGTTAAAATGAAACAAAACGAATAAGAAACAAGAGGGCCATGATGGCCCTGAATCGCTCACCAGAAACAACTGTTTTTGAGTGATTATAGAAACATTTTAAAAAAAAAAAACTTGTAGAAAGACAAGTCCAGGTCAACTTCAACTTGCCTCTCTAGTTATAAGGTTTCCCAACACTTTTTTTTGACAGTAAAAATGATAGGAACCAAGTTTGGTGATCATCCATCCATTAATTTGTGATAAAATTTGCCTATGATTTTTTTCAAAATTGCGATCTTTCTTTTTTTAATTTACTAAAAAAATAATAATCTTATAATCTCATTATTTAGATATACATGTATACTGTTTGTCTGGATGACACCACCGGTCAATATTTATTTAAGACAACATAGGTATACTATTACTAGTCAACTTGACCAGAAAGTTAACATTTCATGTTAATTATCTTTCTCTTTAATAGAAATAGCTCTGGTGAGCTAAAAATGCTATTCCACAACTAAACAATAGGAACAGAAGTAGATGTTTTTTATTTCTATACAATTGTCAGGATTCAGTAGTGTCGAGTGCATTTAGGGGTCAATGCCATATTTCTGAATCAGCATGTCAAATGAAAAACCATATGTAGATGTTTTTAATGTTCTTATACAAAGGCCATAGTATAATAATTCATTCAAAATAAAAAATATTCTTACTTAATAAACATTTAGGAAATTACTGTATAACATTGCTGTATTAAACTTTGAAATACAGTTACAGATATTTCTTTTCATATTATATATACTGAAACAAAAAAAGAACTTTCTCCAAGTTTGAATGTAGATATGTTAGAACAGTTTTTCAATCCTTTTGAAACTCGATTTTTACGTTGAAAAAACATATCGGGCTTTTATACGGGGATTAGCTGACCGATTTTGCCAACAAAACGAGTTTATAAGCTACTACATATATACAGTATAATTATGTACATCTAAGTGGTACCCTTGAACAACTGGCACATATTTTGCGAAAGTTTTAGATAATATATCATATAGTTGTTTATCGGTTGTGACAAGGACCAAATGACTACTCTTTCATTCTAATCAAATCATGTTTACATAGATTTATGTTTACGAAATAGGTAGGTACAAGGTTGCAGTTAAGTGGTTTATCAATCATATGACTTTGTTAACCCAATTAGATATAATATTATCAAAGACCTTTTAATCAAACTTAGTGTAAACATGATTGATATGTAACGATTTTTTAAATTATTATATGTGTATAACCTCTCAAACTGTTAGACTTCACAAATTCTTTAACACGTACATGTATTTACTACTGGTATTAACAGGTACGTATTGTTAATATACGTACCTGGTATTAAGGTACAACGAGTTCCTGTGATTCGATGCAAGCGGCCTTTACAGTAAAGCTCTTCTCCTCTAAATAACCAAGTTTACAAAAATAACAACAAATACAATTATAAAAGATTAAGATGTTTTTATTTATAAGTATTATAACTAATCTTATAATAACAGAACATTTGTAATGAACACAGAGTTATCTGCACTTCTTAATGATATAATATAGAAAAATACATAATTTCAGTGACTAATCCAATTTCATGTATGGGACAAATTTTGTGACAGACGGCAGACAGACCAGTGCAACAACTAGACTTGGTACTGATCATTC